TGTCAGAAAAAAAAACAGCTCGGCATTTCTGGGAAAACTTCGTAAAGGTGTCAAAACTGACCAGTTGTATTTCCCTATATAATCTTTGTATTTTATGGGAAAAACAGAGGGTCACTTCAACGCGGATTTTAGGGTGCTTATACTCAGTATAGCTGGCTAATTTTTTGCATACTCCTAGGTAAATGGCTTGGCCTTTAGGGAAAACTGACCGCGAGTGAAAATCTCCTTATTCGATCTATATAACGAAAAAATTTCTTGCCGAACGACCCCCCTTGATATTTTGTGAGGTGGTAGGAGAACACCTAGGGGTGTCAGAAAAAACTCGCCATATTCTGGAAAAATCTGGAAATGGGTCAAAACTGACCAGTTGTATTTTCCTATATAATCTTTATATTTTATGGGAAAAAAACAGGGTAATTTCAACATAAATGTTAGGATACTTAACCTCTATTTATCTTGCCATTTTTTGCATGCACCTCTATAGATGACTAGGCCGTATGGAAAAATTGTTGGTCAGACTCAAAGCACTCGACGAGGGCTAAAAAGTGACCGCTAGTAAAATTCTCAATATACGAGAAAAATGGCCCGTTGAGGAAGGGTACAACGGGCGCTAGGCTGATAGTGCTGTCTCTTTTCTCTAAACTAAAACCAACCCACCCCCCCCCACACACCACCCCCACCCCACCCCCACACACCACCCCCACCCCCACCACACACCACCCCCACCCCTCACCCCCACACACCACCCCCCTCCACACACCGCCCCACCACCCCCCACCCCCCCAAAAAAAAACATGTCTACCGTCCCATTCAACGAAATATAATTATATACTTTTTCCAGTGTCCGCCCCCTCCCAGAAAATTCTACCCCCGCCCCCGAAAATTTCAAGTACCCCCACCCCTCTCCGGGGAGGAAAAAGTCTGAAAGAAACACTGAAACCAACCCACCCCCCCCCCACACACCACCCCCCACCCCCCTCCCCACCCCTACACACCACCCCCCTCCCACCCCTCCACCCCCCCCCCCCCAACCCCCCCAAAAAAAAAACATGTCTACCTTCCCATTGCAAGAAAACCACTTTTTAGATTAGACACATTAATTAGGCTGTAATTTTATTATAGAGTATCGATGAGGAAATTTCTTTTGAGTTGGGGAGGGGGGGGGGGGCTCAGACGTTCTTACGCGGGGGTGGGGCTTCGCCCCTACCCGAAGAATTGTATGCAAGAAACTCTTCACGCAAACCATTTAGATTAGACAACATTTCTTTTTTTTCAATGTTTACGCGATAATCAATGACGTCATATTACTGTGTGCACTCTCTGGTTTGAGATTATGTTCTACTCTACGCTAAATGTGTCGACGTCATATTTCGTTTTTCGAATTACTGTGCATGTTTTTATTTTGCTTGTGTTTTCTCTAGAGCGTTCTTGTCAGACAGAGCGTTCTTGTCAGACAGAGCGTTCTTGTCAGATAGACAGACAGCGAAACTATTAGTATTAATAAGATATCTATAAATAAATTGACGAACGATCTCCCATTCGTTCAATTTTCAAGGGAGGTAACTTTTTAAAAATAATTATTTTTCAAATAATTGTATACTATTTTAAACATAAACAGAAAATGACGAAATATAGCATTTGTTTTATTAAAAAATTAAGTTGTTAATTAAGGTACGTATCCTAATTAAATAAGCTAATTAATTTTAAAAGTCAATCTAAAATAAATTATGAGATATACTGTTCATGGAACCTCTGTAGTTCTAATTCCATTTTAGTCATAGATTTCGAACTTCCCAATATTTACTCCGTTTAACTGACTTTTAACATCACAGAACAACAACAACATTTTCTCTAAAATTAGCAATACTGTTTAAATTTAAGCACTCCACAACTCAGCCGTCACTAAAAAATTAAGTATTCAAATTCTCAAATGTTTTTGAAAAACCTAAGCGAAGCTAGGCAGTATGCCTAGTACATTATATTTTTATATGGTGCCGACATAATTTTAGTCGGCTGAAATTGCGAGAAGTTAAATATGGTAGTTTTAACATTAATTACGATTTTATGAGTTAATATTTTAGTTTTCTTTTGCATACAAAGACCTCATCAATACTGTATTTAAATATTTGATTTTTTTTATTAAGAAAATCTAAATCGCATTAATAAAAAAAAAACTGGTCCTAAAGGGATGCATGGATTTTGTGTATACAATCTTATAACGAATGTATAATATTTTTTTTATCTAATTATGTAAATGTTTATGTCAAGTTGTATTACCTGGAGCTTGACCTATGTTTTAGTTTAATTCTACAGTAGTTAGGTAAAAGTTAAGTAAATGCATGTAATGTAAACGCATGAAGTCCCATTGAGAAATTAAAATGAAGAGCAACAAGAGAGATAACCCAAATATATCTTTACTTAGTTCACTTGTGGAAAGCTAACCTCCCTTGAATGTTTTTTTTTAAAATTATCGTGAAGCGTTAACGAGTTCTTTTAATGCATTGGAACAAAAGAAGAGTATAACCAAATAAACGTGGCATTGATTAAGTAATTAGGCGACACTGACCTCAGGCGAAGCTGACCTAAGGCGACAATAAGGTGGCCATGACCTACGGCGGCACTGACCTACAGTGTTTCTTCCAGACTTTTTTTCTCCGGGGGGGGGGGGCACTTGAAATTTCCGGGGGGGGGGGCAGTAAACTTTCTTCGGGGGGGGGGGGGGGGCGGACACTGTTAAAAGTATATATTTTCTATATAAATTATATAAATTTCATACCGTTCGGGGGGGGGGGGGGCGGTAAAAAAATTTCGGGGGGGGGGGGGGGGCTTTGCCTGGAAGAAACTCTGCTGACCTATGCAGGAACCTACCCTTTTGTGTGACGTAGACGTACCTGTACAGGCCCCTGTAGCCGTGAAGTCTGGAAGATTCGCTGATCACCCCGATGCTGTTCCTTCCATCAAAACTCTGCAAGTCTTTCACCAGCTCCAGGTTCGTCACGCAGACGACATGCTATGACGTCTCTCAATGGGGGGGGGGGGGGGGGGGTTGAAATAATCCTCTATAATTAGAACGAGTCACGAGCCTTGAGAGGTAGTGTCATTGACCCATTAAAAGTTAAATATCCTCTCCATTTTTGTCATAGGGTGATGATAGTCATATTTAGGTTGTTAAAATTTGCTGGAGAAATCTAGACACGTGAAAGCTGAATTAATAAATGAATTATCTCCCCTTTCATCAACACCTGAATAATTTGTATGTAGGCCTACTACCTTTGTCGGTAGTACCATTAAAAAGCTATAAGATACAACATAAGTTTGGTTATTTTAAACAACAGAATATTCTGGATAATCTAAAAAAAAAGCTTGTCTGGGTGTTCAACTATATATTTTAGTGGCCTAAAGTGAATTTGTTATTTAAAATGTTTGTGATGATTAATTTAAAATGCCATGAGTAATTTAATACATTTAATGTTAGATGGGTCTAAGTGCACCAACCCATGTGGCTAAGAGCACGAGACAAGTGTGTCTAAGTGCACTAGACATGTGTCTAAATGCACTAAGTGCACCAGACCAATGTGTATCAGTGCACTAGACCTGTGTGTCTAAGAGCACCAGACTCGTGAGTCTAAGTGCACTTGACTTGTGTGTTTTTTAACACACCACATTCAACACAACTTTTATCTGATTATGTGACCTGACACTTGTTCAAGACCAAATCACCTAGCCGCATTCATTATATCTGCAATATCAACGTGAATACACATGCTTGAAACAAGACCTCTGTAAAGTTCTATAACTCAGAACTTCACTATAAAACACGTTTCATCTCCCTTGGAATGATTCTCCCACCTAGAATTAGGATACGACTTTATAAGGGATACATCTGGTGTTAGTAATAACTCCATTGGATTATGTATGACACTTTTAAAAATTGTCTATAGGAAGAGTGTGGGTTGGTGTTTCGTTATGTGTGTTTCGGTGTCTGACGTGTATGTGTTTGTGGGTGTCTGGAAGTGGTGTATGTATGGTAGAGGTGAATGAGTGTACGTGAGAGCGTGCGTGTGAGTTGAATACCGGCAGGTACAAAAGTAAAAATTCTCTGAAATGTATCGAGTTAGATCGAGTTGGTAGTTCATGGTAGTTCAAGATTTGCTCTAACAGCGATGTCTGTAGACAACATGGGTCATACATATGTAGCTACTGGCGTCTATAAGCTACCGCCCGTAGTCACAACGTTGGAGGGATGGTGCGTGCCTCTCAAACATATAGAGGACAACTTGTCCTACTGTAATTTAGACTCACTAAAATATAGATGTTATAGGTGCTACCCTATTATGCAAAAGATTAAATTAATAAAAAAAAATCTTTAAAATTGAAATAAGATTGTTTGAAACTGAAAACAAGACACATAAGCATACCAACAATAATTTAATATAACAAAACAATTAACTCAATTTAAATTTAAAAGCGTTAATATAACGCCAAAGAGTTAAGTCATTTCATACATTCCAAACAATTACATCACACCTCAACCGTGTCTTACCCACAAATGATGAGAAAAAAACATTCGCATTCACTGATAAATTAGTGGTCACTGTGACACGCCAATATGTTGATGGGTAACTTGGACTATGCGCGAATTCTCGGACTTGGTCCCTTTACATTCGCAACCAAGAACAATACTTTACATGCACCATAGAATAGTGTTCATCCCCTCGATATGTGTCGTCACTCTGTATTTGTAGTTGTTTGTTTAGTGGCACGTGAATGAAGCCTCAGTCAGCGTGAGCCTCAATTAACGTGAGCCTAAGTCAACGTGAGCCTAAGTCAACGTGAGCCTAAGTCAACGTGAGCCTAAGTCAACGTGAGCCTAAGTCAACGTGAGCCTAAGTCAACGTGAGCCTAAGTCAACGTGAGCCTAAGTCAACGTGAGCCTAAGTCGTCGTGAGCCTAAGTCAACGTGAACCTAAGTCAACGTGATCCTAAGTCAACGTGAGCCTAAGTCAACGTGAGCCTAAGTCAACGTGAGCCTAAGTCAACGTGAGCCTCAGTTAACGTGAGCGTCAGTTAACGTGAACATCAGTCAGCGTGAGCTTTAGTTAACGTGAACATCAGTCTGCGTGAACCTAAGTCAGCGTGAGCTTCAGTTAACGTGAACATCAGTCTGCGTGAGCCTAAGTCAACGTGAGCTACAGTTAACGTGAACCTAAGTCAGCGTGAGCTTCAGTTAACGTGAACATCAGTCAGCGTGAGCCGAAGTTTCTAACCAGCCGCGAGTGGGTCAGGTTGACCACCATCTCGTCCAGACAGTGTAAGGCCGCTGGGTGGTGGTCAATGTGGAGTTTGTTGGCGAACAGGAAGTCCCTGCTGACCAGGGCGGGCAAGTCTTCGGGCGTGTAGATGCAGACGTCGTGGAGGAACTTGCTGTAGCAGATAACTTTGTTATCTCCCCTCCATAGGGAGGATGACGTCATCCATTTGCGTGACGTAGATGTGTCTAGACAGAAATAACAATAGCATCAAACGGGTTAGATTCTTGAAGTAGAATAATTGTATAATTACTTGCAGTGTCTTTAAAATTGTGATTGTAAAACTTTATTTCATTTTTAATTTCTCGTATTCGGAGTATGGGGGTGTGTGTGAGGGGGGGGGAATTGTAATCGTGCTTAAACATAATTATCAAATTATTAAGATTTTTGAGCAACCGAAAATAAAATAACTATTTCGATTACCGAAAATTGCTCAAACTTTTTGGAAACCTACGTAAAGGATTTAATACTTGCAAATAAAATTTCGGTACTTAAACTGTTGCGACACACACACACACACATACACACATATTCACACACATACACACTCACATACACATACACACATAAACATGCAGCAATACATTCATGTTTGCAGGTTTTTGTTAACTACAGGATACGATGTTTTGGTCATGGACATTTGCATGAAAACTTTCTATTTATGGACATTTACATTTACATGTGGTTTATGACGCTCTTTGTATTTGACCTCTAGACATGACCTGACACGACATGAAATGACGTGACATGACTTGCCATGACATGACATGAGTGGACATGACATGACATAAGTGGACATGACATGCCATCACACGACATCACATGACATCACATGACATCACATGACATCACATGCCATGACATGACATGACATGACATCACATGACTTGACCTACTTACTTTTCGTCCCGCCTGGGACATCTATGACGTCATTGTAATTAAGTGTCGCCCAGAAATATTCATCAGGGCTTAAGAGATCCCTGCTCCACTCAAGCAAATCCTTAGCCACGGGGTCATTGAGTACAAACTGTACGAACCCCCGGGTGAACGAGCCATAGGCACTCCCCTTGGTCACCGGTAGCTTGTGGGGTGGGGACGGATTTGTAGCGCCCGTTCTCGCCATAGCCTTTTCACCTAGTTGGTTGAAAATTGTAAACATAAGTTTATGGTTTAGTAACCTTGAAATTATGTATATGGTTAGCACTAATGGTCCTGAAGGAAGTTTGGATCTATCTTTGTAATATCAAATACAGAAACAATTATTTCAGCAACACCATTTAATTTTTAAAATTATTAAATTTTGGCCGAATCCAAATCAACAATATAAATTGTCTGCCCCTTGTATGTAAGGGAGGTAGCCTTATAATAGGGAGGTAACCTTACACCAGTCAGGTAACCTTATGTAAGGGAAGCTACTTATATCTGGTAAATAACTTATGTCAGTAAGGTAACCTATATCAGGGAGGTAACCTTATTATATCAGGGAGCCAAGCTTAGGTGTCATCCATTTATGACGTCCACAAAAATTTCGGAATTTATAGACCCCCCCCCTCCCCCCACTCCCCCGTCCACTTTCGACGAACACCCCCCCCCCCCTCCCCCCACTCCCCCGTCCACTTTCGACGAACACCCCCCCCCCCCCATGTGGACGTCCATAAAAATATAGTAGATCTCGCAAAACGTACTACTAATTTACTATTTCAATAACATGTATTGAGTACATAATAACTGATATACGGCTTTAGTATTTTCGATAAAGTTTTTTTATTAGGCATAAAGATCAAAAGTAGAATCTAGATCTGTCTTTATTTAACACGAGCAATGTCGTTTTAATTTTACTTTTAACATGCAGGATACGAGTTTTATGTTTGTTTTAAAATGTTAGTACTTCGACATTAAGTACAACATGTGGACTTGTCCGCATCGACCCAACCCCCCCCCCCCCCACACACACACACGCGTCCACAAAAGTTTTATTTTTTCGGACTCCCTCCCCCCCCCCCCGTGTGGACGTCATAAATGGATGACCACTCATATCAGTTAGGTAGCCTTATGTCAGGGAGGTACCTAATGTCAGGGAGGCAAACTTATATCACCGTGGTAGCCTTATATCAGGGGGGTAACTGATGTCTGGCCTGGAACGTAACGTATGTCAGGCAGGTAACATATGTCAGATAGATGACATATTGGGAGTGAGATACCCTGAGTTTTGTAGAGCAGATCTAGGTTGAATCGATGGGAAAACGAATAACTGTTACAATGGGAGAAAATGGTAAAAAGATACAAGGAGGAAAAAAATTGTCTCTTCTGTACCCTATGTGTCAAACAAAGGCGGAGCTGTGACGTTAATTACAACTTGACAGATTGATCCAACTAAAGCCAACAAGATTTAAACACTTCAACTAGTGATAAAACTCAACAGTCTTAGCGTCTATACACGTATCTGTGTACACTAGCATATCTGTGTACACTAACATATCTGTGTACACCAACTAGTGATACAACTCGTCTTAGCGTCTGTACACTAACATATCTGTGTACACTAACATATTTATGTACACTAACATATCTGTGTACACTAACATATCTGTGTACACTAACATATCTGTGTACACTAACATATCTGTGTACACTAACATATCTGTGTACACTAACATATCTGTGAACACTAACATATCTGTGTACACTAATATATCTGTGTACACTAACATATCTGTGTACACTAACATATCTGTGTACACTAATATATCTGTGTACACTAACATATCTGTGTACACTAACATATCTGTGTACACTAACATATCTGTGTACACTAACATATCTGTGTACACCAACTAGTGATAAAACTCGTCTTAGCGTCTGTACACGTATCTGTGTACACTAACATATCTGTGTACACCAACATGTGATACAACTCACCAGTCTTCGCGTTAGTATTGACTACATGTCTGTATATGTATCTATGTTTCAACAGCGCCTTGTCCGAGTGTAGACCTTCAATATCGTTACTTCCGTTGAACGATTTGAGAACCCTTACCATCTCCAAGTTAGTTCTAGGAAAGAACAAAGTATTCTTATAAACATGCAAACAGTGTTATACAGTTTTGTATCGAGTTTTGTTGCATATTTGTATTGATTTTGAGGCCAGGGATAAGATAAGGTTTAGTGTTTATGGAGCCAGGGAAAAGATAAGGTTTAGTGTTTATGGGGTCAGGAATATAAGATAAGGTTTAGTGTTTATGGGGTCAGGGATATAAGATAAGGTTTAGTGTTTATGGGGCCAGGGATAAGATTAGGTTTAGTGTTTATGATGCCATGGATAAGATAAGGTTTAGTTGCTATGGGCCAGAGATATAAGATAAGGTTTAGTGTTTATGGGGCCAGGGATAAGATTAGGTTTAGTGTTTATGATGCCAGGGATAAGATAAGGTTTAGTTGCTATGGGCCAGAGATATAAGATAAGGTTTAGTGTTTATGGGGCCAGGGATAAGATTAGGTTTAGTGTTTATGATGCCAGGGATAAGATAAGGTTTAGTGGCTATGGGACGAGGGATATAAGATAAGGTTTAGTGTTTATGGGGCCAGGGATAAGATTAGGTTTAGTGTTTATGATGCCAGGGATAAGATAAGGTTTAGTTGCTATGGGCCAGAGATATAAGATAAGGTTTAGTGTTTATGGGGCCAGGGATAAGATTAGGTTTAGTGTTTATGATGCCATGGATAAGATAAGGTTTAGTTGCTATGGGCCAGAGATATAAGATAAGGTTTAGTGTTTATGGGGCCAGGGATAAGATTAGGTTTAGTGTTTATGATGCCAGGGATAAGATAAGGTTTAGTTGCTATGGGCCAGAGATATAAGATAAGGTTTAGTGTTTATGGGGCCAGGGATAAGATTAGGTTTAGTGTTTATGATGCCAGGGATAAGATAAGGTTTAGTGGCTATGGGACGAGGGATATAAGATAAGGTTTAGTGTTTATGGGGCCAGGGATAAGATTAGGTTTAGTGTTTATGATGCCAGGGATAAGATAAGGTTTAGTTGCTATGGGCCAGAGATATAAGATAAGGTTTAGTGTTTATGGGGCCAGGGTTAAGATTAGGTTTAGTGTTTATGATGCCAGGGATAAGATAAGGTTTAGTGGCTATGGGACGAGGGATATAAGATAAGGTTTAGTGTTTATGGGGCCAGGGATAAGATTAGGTTTAGTGTTTATGATGCCAGGGATAAGATAAGGTTTAGTTGCTATGGGCCAGAGATATAAGATAAGGTTTAGTGTTTATGGGGCCAGGGTTAAGATTAGGTTTAGTGTTTATGATGCCAGGGATAAGATAAGGTTTAGTGGCTATGGGACCAGGGATATAAGATAAGGTTTAGTGTTTATGGGACCAGGGATATAAGATAAGGTTTAGTGTTTATGGGGCCAGGGATAAGATTAGGTTTAGTGGCTATGGGACGAGGGATATAAGATAAGGTTTAGTGTTTATGGGACCAGGGATATAAGATAAGGTTTAGTGTTTATGATGCCAGGGATAAGATAAGGTTTAGTTGCTATGGGCCAGAGATATAAGATAAGGTTTAGTGTTTATGGGGCCAGGGATAAGATTAGGTTTAGTGTTTATGATGCCAGGGATAAGATAAGGTTTAGTGGCTATGGGGCCAGGGATATAAGATAAGGTTTAGTGTTTATGGGACCAGGGATATAAGATAAGGTTTAGTGTTTATGGGGCCAGGGATAAGATTAGGTTTAGTAGCTATGGGACCAGGGATATAAGATAAGGTTTAGTGTTTATGGGACGAGGGATATAAGATAAGGTTTAGTGTTTATGGGACGAGGGATATAAGATAAGGTTTAGTGTTTATGGGACCAGGGATATAAGATAAGGTTTAGTGTTTATGGGACCAGGGATATAAGATAAGGTTTAGTGTTTATGGGACCAGGGATATAAGATAAGGTTTAGTGTTTATGGGACCAGGGATATAAGATAAGGTTTAGTGTTTATGGGGCCAGAGATATAAGATTAGGTTTAGTGGCTATGGTCCAACATAGATTCAGAATAAGGGTTGGGTTCAGGACAAGAGCTTGGATTAGGAATAGGGTTTATGTCATGTTATCCGATCGAAAGAGTGGATATGTTTTGGGTTTATCAGAAGAGTGATTAATTAGATAATACTGGTAGTCTAGCTAGAGTCTGCGTTAATAGAAGTTGGCATTGCTCTACACCAGGGGTTCCCAACCCCGTGCCCGCGGGCGCCATGGCGCCCGCCGATCGATTCGTATGTGCCCGCCTCTCACTATTCGACAGAGACAGAATTTTTTTCATAAACATTATTGAATTATTGAAATCGAAAGTTTGAGGGGAGGGGGGTGCAAATCGAAAATTTGAGGGGGGGGGGGGTGCAAATCGAAAGTTTTGTCCCCGGGTGACGGGAAGGGTCGCTACGCCTCTGGAAGGAGTTTGTCGATTTAAAATAGGTGGTGCCCGCCACCCTACCGATATTTTAGAATGTGCTCTAGTCAAAAAAGGTTGGGAACCCCTGCTCTACACTGTTCATATGTCTCCTGTGTCTATCCTCAAATGTGAACTTTGCTCTAGATCCAGGATCAGTGCTGGGACCTCCTGGTGTATGTTTGGACTTCAAGAAATCGACCTGACACGGATTTTGGTTTGGAGGGAGACTAACTTAAACCTTGGAGCAATCAGTAGCAAGAGAAAAACGTAACATTAGAAAGGTGTCCCTGACACAAACAGGTGTGTCTTTTACCTGAGGGGAAACTGTTGTCCCGGCATGTTGATGACGTATCGCCACTGCACCGGATGACCCATGAGGTCACTCATACAGTTGATGTCGGCCATGAGCCGGGAGAAGCCGGCGTACACGACATCCTCCAGTCTGCCGGCCACAAACACATTCGGCAAACACCGGGCCGCGGACAAAACGGCCCCCAGCATCAGGGCGTTGACCTTTCTGTCGGGGTGCAGGCAGTAGACGTTGTGGGGGTGGTAGATGGCACGGAGCAGGAACAAAACCTGTCGGGACACAAGATGGAAACTTTAAAATGTGCATGTAAGATAACACCTGCATATTAGCAGGTGTGCACATGTGCAGGTATAGCAACTCGTAATATAACATTATCTTGAGATAACGCAGTCAACCATGTCCAAGACATGGGATCGGATTTCAAAAAGTTTATACCCTCAATCTTGATTAAAACACCAGGCGGTTTGTATATCGCTATACGTCATCTAAAACTGTTAAAAACCCCTGTCAATTATCTCTCCCCTTGTATTTTATGTATTAAAAGAAATGATATATGATACTCTATTCATGAAACTATCCTCATTATTTTTTAAAGGATAATTTTTTTAAAAATATTATTTGAAACGAAGAAGTCGAGGACTTATAAAACACAGACAATGATTATTTTTGTGTCTTGTCATCGTCCTAAAGTTCAACCTCACTTGAATGAGATTACGAAAACTTGAATTTGACGTGTAATTCGACGAATTATCAGTGTGCAAAAGTAAAAACCTTCCAGTCTTGAAGCCCATAGTTTGGCTGTAAGAAATGACACCAAGATGTAATGTGAGTCGTGGGTATAGATGTGATCACGTGACATTCGCCAAACATAGCGTATTTACTTGACCTCTAGCTGTGCTTGTATAAAGCGTCGTTTCTTTAACTGGTTTACATTGTGTCAATAGAACACTAGCTTTATTCATACTGTTCTGCCAATTTAGGATATATATATATATATATATATATATATATATATATATATATATATATATATATATATATATATATATATATATATATCTGTATACTTATATTTATTTATATATAAATACATGTAAACAACTATATGCATGTATGTATCTGTATTTATATATAAAGGCCCATATCAAAAGAAATATATCAGCTACCTCAACTCGTACTTGAAGTAACCCCTAATGGTACTCGTGTACTGTAGCTCCACAGCTCAACCCAAGCTCCAGCCCTCCCCCGCCCTCTTCCCCGTCCCAGATTTTATGAATGTTTGCCACCGACATACAACACCCCCACCCCCCTCCATTTCACTCACATTCTTGGGTGTATTCTCAGGTTTGATTATCCTGCTATTTAAAAAATCTCAACTTTTTTTTATACAAGACTAGACGCTGATAAGGACATAACAAGCAAATGTTTGACACAAACTGTCGCCGATAATTTCAATAGGAAATGTCAAACATAAGTGTTTAATTGTCAGACAAGTATTGTCACAAGGGTGTGTTTAATTAAGTGTTGGCAAGTTTTTAATTGCCAGATAAGTTTGTTTCATTCAAGTTAGTTGTCAAGTCCACCAAATCAAACTTGTCTATGTCCTGTTATTTAAGTTCAACTACATTGCCTTCGTTTATTTCTATAAAATTAGATTACGTCAATGTCATTTATTGAATTTACAGCAATAAAAAGATACGTCATAAACTTGAGTAGTAGTTGAGTTGCGTGCATTTTTTTAACCATTCGGCAGGTCCGAACTAACAGAAACTTTCGTCTGAATCAAGTGTAGCGGGCAGAATTTGAAGCCACACTTTTGGACCTGACAATCCTGGATAATCAATAGGGCAGATGAAGTAGAGTGTATCGGTCTCTTATCTACCCTATGAACTACCAGGTTCGAAAGGCTGACTTATTTGTACATTTTAGGTCATTAGACGTAATCGATTTTTTTATAAGGAATAATTCCATAATGTAGTTTCATGTGTAGTTACAATCGTTGCCACTTTGTTAATTATCAAATTTTTAATTACGTTGATACCGTTCATATTTTATATACCTGATCTAAGCTCGTATGGAATACAATGATGAACGCCAAAGGAAAATCTTTCTCCTCTTGTGTTGCGGTAGGGTATCGTTGAAATCCAAAACGGTGTATAAACTCCGAACAATCAGCCGAGATATTCAAGAGTTGTTGGTCCTGAACACGATTCACTCCCTGTGGGTATTGAGAGTTATTTCCCCTGAATGTCAGCATCGCCGTGCAGTTGATGTTTCTCAGATCGGGAAATCCCACCCAATTGTTTGTGTATGCCATAGTCAGGTTAGCATCCTTGTCAGAGGTCAAGTTAGCCTCTTGTGTAAGCTTGCTATTGGCGTGGTCAGTTGTTAACATGACCTTTGGCCTGGTCAAGTTTACAATCGAGAGACCTATCTGTGTTAGGTTATCTAAAATTATTGTCTGGTTATTAAGAAAAGCATATGGCTGTAGAGTATCCATATACTCCCGTAAACACGCCTGTAGCTGTCTTTTTTCTGCAGAGTGTGGTGACAGTAGTTTTATAGCACTCTGTGTAGCTAGAATGTAGAGTATTACACTCAAGAACGCCAGGAGAATCAGCTTGCGTCTGTATACACCTGTAAGGTGAAGAAGTATCTCATCAAATGTGAGGAGGTATCTCATCAAAGGTGAGGTAGTATCTCATCAAATGTGAGGAGGTATCTCATAAAATGTGAGGAAGTATCTCATCAAAGATGGAAAAATTGGAGCTGTTACAACATGGGTAGTTGTTTGGATGCTATGTATGTTATTTGAGATTGGAGATTTTGTTTTATTAGTTTTGGTGTTGGTGGCAAGCGACTGTGAAGTTGGGGCTACAGTGTGTTGGTGGTAGAATGTGTTGGTGTTGGTTCTAAAAGGTGTTGCTGTTGGTGTTGGTTCTAAAAGGTGTTGGTGTTGGTTCTAAAAGGTGTTGGTGTTGGTGTTGATTCTAAAAGGTGTTGGTGTTGGTTCTAAAAGGTGTTGGTGTTGGTTCTAAAAGGTGTTGGTGTTGGTGTTGGTTCTAAAAGGTGTTGGTGTTGGTTCTAAAAGGTGTTGGTGTTGGTTCTAAAAGGTGTTGGTGTTGGTGTTGGTTCTAAAAGGTGTTGGTGTTGGTTCTAAAAGGTGTTGGTGTTGGTTCTAAAAAGTGTTGGTGTTGGTTCTAAAAGGTGTTGGTGTTGGTTCTAAAAGATGTTGGTGCAAAACTGTGTTGGTGTTGGTGGTAGAATGTGTTGGTGCCAAACTGTGTTGGTGTTGGTTCTAAAAGGTGTTGGTGTTGGTGCCAAACTGTGTTGGTATTGGTGGTAGAATGTGTTGATGTTGGTGCCAAACTGTGAAGGTGTTGGTTCTAAAAGGTGTTGGCGCCAAACTGTGTTGGTGTTGGTGGTAGAATGTGTTGGTTTTGGTGCTAAAAAGTGTTGGCGTTTGCGCTAAACGGTGTTGGTATTGGTGGTAAATGGTGTTAATAAAGGTGCTAAATGATGTAGGTGTTGGTGCTAAATGGTATTGGTCCATAAAAGCGTTGATGTTTGCTCTAAACAGTATTGGTGTTAAATGGTGTTAATTTAGGTGCTAAATGGCGTTTATGTTGGTGTTGGTGCTAATGGTATTTGTATTGGCGCTAAACAGTGTTGGTGTTGGTTATAAATGGTGTTAATGTAGGTGCTAAATGGTGCTAATGTAGGTGCTAAATGGTGCTAATGTTGATGCAATAAAAGTTTTTTGCAAAGCAAATGCAAGTTGAATTACTTGACAAGGCCTTTTGTCCCTACTATCTAACCATCATGGTGTAGGGGGGAGGCAGTTTGTCGTCTAAATTCTAGAATGTTGTTGTCAGTAATAATTCAAATGGATACTATAGGCCTCTCATTGTATTATTAGTGAAGGCTTAATG